TCTCAGCGACCAGACGTATTAGGCTTTGCTGAAACATGGTTAAACTCCGAGGTAACCGTCCAAGAAGTGGAAATCACCGGCTACTCATGCTTCCGCTGTGATAGATCATCAAATGATCGCAGTGGCGTTCTACTTTACATAAAGTCTTCCTTGTGTTGGAGGCTAGTGAGCGCCTACCTAAGCGCTGATGGTCTATGCGAGCAGTTATGGTGTTCGATTCACCTCAGACGCTGCGAGTTGCTCGTGGGCGTGGTATATCGCAGTCCACTGAGCCGCTGTCTGGACTGGTTGCATCATGTCCGCAACCACATGAGTCGTCAGATGTTCATACTCATGGGCGATTTCAACTTGCCCCGAATCCAGTGGCCTGAGGCTGAACTTCTCCCTAGCCACTGTGAAGTCGAGAGGAAGTTTACGGAGTTGATATTTGAAACCGGGGCCACACAGCACATCAACCAACCGACACGCATTACTGCGCGCACGACTCCATCGTGCTTAGACCTGCTGTTGACCAGCTGTGAGCAGGGTGTATATAACATTCAAGTCTTAGAGCCTCTGGGAGCGAGTGACCACTCAGTGATCATAGGCAGTTTAGAACTACCGCTACCGTATCCTCTCCCACTAGAGTCAGCCTTCAACTATTGGAAGGCGGACTTTAATGGCCTCATTCGAGCAGCCAGCCAGATAGACTGGTCTTTGCCACAGGATTCATCTATTGAAACCCGTTGGGCTATCATTAAAGAGGGAGTAAAATCGTTGTGCACCCTATTTGTGCCCCTCAAATTTCGGAAAGTTGGGCCAGTCAAACCACATTGGTTCGATAAAGAGTACAACAAAGTGGCCCGACGACGACGCAGACTATGGAACAAATTCGTGTTATCTGGCTCTGATGAGGACTACAAGGCGTACAAGGTACAGCGAGGTCGCTGCAACAACGTGAAAACTAGAAACCGCAGAAACTTCGAAAAGCAGCTTGCAACTGCCGCAAAATCTGCTCCCAAGAGAATCTTCGCAGACGTGAAGCGCCATCTGAGGCCTGCAGCCAATGTCCCAGTGTTAGAAGGCTCCGATGGGCAGCCCCTAACCTCGAGTACAGATCGTGCGTCCGCATTGACGGCGCACTTCGCCTCCGTATTTGCAAGTGACCAGGTGTCTGTAACGAGTTCGACGAGTACCGCTCCAGCCGAACTTAACAGCCTGGACTGCAATATTGAGGATGTGCGCAAGCTTCTAGCAAATCTTGACGGGACGAAGCCTGCTGGGCCAGATGAAATCCACCCACTGCTTCTCAAGTCCCTATCAACCATCATCGCGCCTTCTGTAACTGAGCTGTTCAACAGAGCACTATCCACTGGACTATTACTGGACGACGGGAATGGCTCAGTCGTAAAGCCCATACAGAAAGGTGGTAACGCAAGCAAAGTGGATAACTACCGGCCTATCTGCCTGACCGCTGTTTTTTAAAGGCGCTCGAGAAGTTCGTGAATAAGAGCCTTCTGCAGCTTCTCGAGTCGAAAAGCCTCTTGGCGCCCGCACAGCACCGTTTCATGAAAGGTCGCTCGTGCATCACCAACCTAGTGTTCACGAGGCACGAATGGTTACAAGCGCTGAACCAAGGCAAATCAGTCGACGTCATTTGAATTGACTTCAGTAAGGCTTTTGACTAGATAAATCATGCAGTGCTCCTCGACAGGCTGAGGATGTGCGGTGTTGGTGGTTCGCTGCACAAATGGATCAGAAATTTCCTTGTTGATCGAAAGTGGAGGGTCCAGGTGGACAACCATTTAACCGACTGGTATTTATCGAGCAGCGGCTTGCCCCAAGGCACTGTACTGGGGCCGATTTTGTTTCTGATCCATGTAAACGATGTGCCTCAGCTACCCCAACCCCTTGTGCGTTGTTTGCAGATGACTTGAAGGTGTGGAGAGTAATCCGCACACCCAATGATTGTGATTTACTTCAGCAGGACCTCGACCGCCTCTCCATGTGGTCTGCAGAGGTCAAACTTCCGATCAACCCATTCAAGTTGAAATTCATGAGGCTGGGTAAGTTTGAGTACTGTCGAACCTACACGGTGGCTGGTCAACCGTTGCACCCCGCTCCTTTTGTGCACGACTTCGGCGTACTCTCAACTACGACCTAAAGTCCATTGACAACACGAATAGGCTGTACCAAAACAGCCTTCGTATGCTTTGGGCGCTCATGCGCAGCTTCCGCACTTGGCCCGAAGTGATTGCCTCTCGCCTCTTCGTCTCAATAATACGACCAATGCTGGAGTGTGGCGCTCCTGCGCACTGTCCTATCATCCGGGGCGAGGTAGAAAAGCTTGAGCGAGTGCAGAATGTAGCCACCAGGCTGATTCCCTACTTACGTGGTGTGCCGTACTAAGGCCGGTGTAAGAAACTAGGGCTGTACACCCTAGCATATCGTTGGCTGAGGGTTGACTTCATCATGACACACCGGATATTACATCTAGGTGATTACCCCATGTTGAGACAACTACTTCATCTGCGCACACCAAGCTGCACGCGAGGACACCGGTATAAACTTATCGTCCCGGATTTGAAGCGGGTCACTCACCAACTCTGTTTCGAACGCAGTGGTGAATGTATGGAACGATCTGCCACACCACGTAGTTGAGGCAAAATCAGTGTCGGAACTTAAGAAGATCCTTGACAAACACTTTGCCGACGCAAAATAATTTGAGCGGTAAACAATATAACGGGTACTTGTCCTTGAGTGACGATTGATGCAGCTACACAGAGCAAACTTTACCGGCTACTTCTAATCCAAATATATATATATATTTATATTTATATATATAATCAGGATCTTTTAGCGAGTAGCCCATGGCGGGAGTCAGGAGAGCGATTCGAAAAGGCAAAGCGGGTTGCTGGGAAACTTTTCTTGGTACAATAAAAGGTTCCCTGTTATTTAGCTATAAAAAAGCGACACCATTGACGCTCAAGCAACTGGAACGGAGAATGTAATGCACCCACGGCAACCGCGCGTTGCAACGGAAACGATTGTCAAGTAACAATGGCGATGAGCAAGTCAAACATTCGAACTCAGTAATCAGTTCAACAAACCACACCGGTCGCCTAGGTGTACAATGAAATAACTTTAGTTAGAATTTGACAAAGGCGAACCGGGGAATCTATAGACTGCCACAATCTCCCTTGGGTTTGCAGCTCGCCGATAAATTTATGGCAAAATTGGAATATGGCCCACATAGGTGAGATTGAAATGTACGTATCTTATGTTAACACTTTAGTGCTTTTCAGAAAGGAAGATTACGCTTCGCAGTTAGTGAAGGTTTTAATGACGTGCCTGTGAATCTCCGCTTTACATACAAGCATGGTTTCGGTAACCGACCACCATTTCTGAATGTAGATGTTCTCTATTACTGACGGATCGCTCATCAGGACGTTATGCAGAAGACATATATCGACATGGAAATGAATGAAATTTCACAATGAAGTGTTGCTACAGTACAAGGGATGTTTGGTTTGATATCTCCCCTTCAGGACTCGCAATGTTTGCACACCGTATAGAATGAACAAAGTATGGCAGAGAATCAACGACGGCCTCAGAGAAAATAGCTATCCAGACAAATTTATCGTGAAACATCTGAGGGAACACAATAGCAAGCTTCCTAAGCTCACTGCTCCTAAAATAGAGCTGCTTATGCACTTGTCGTTTATAGACGATTCTGCTGCTGCTACCCTACCCCGAGATTATCCGATTTCTGTTCAGAACACTTAGTTGTCCGTGTCGGGAAAGTTATAGTAAAAAGACCACCAGACATCTGTTTGAGATTCCAAGAACATTGCTCGGTGGGGATCTATTCCACTGTAAGAAAGACTGTAGCGAGCGTGGTGCTGGAGAACTTGGCCGCGCGAGGTCTTCCAGTCGATCAAACGGATATCTGGACGACACACGCGAGCATTTGATGTCGCCTATTGGCGATAGCTGAGGCAATTGCTATTCGGTTCCATAATCCCACCCAGTACGCCTAAAAGAAGTTCGTCCGTTCTCTTCAATTACTCTGGCCCCAAGCTGCCCCGTACAACGACGATGCATTTAACCCCACAATTAAAGTTGATCCAGTCCGTGCCATCAGTTAATTTCAATCAACAATCAGAAACAGCAGTATATCAGCCATTTGAACTGATGCTTCGTTGCCATACAATCATGGTGATCTATGAAATAAAGAACAGTAAGAGGGAGAGAAGGGGGACTTACCTGAAAATCCTAATGCCCTAAGGAAACATTCAGGATCAGGTAGCCTACACCTTGTGTAGACAACATACCGTCACACACAGATGGCTATCGTGCAAAGATAAGGCGGCATCGGCGAGACAGCTTCCTTGCGGCTTTCACTGCCACGCGACATAAACAGCCATTACCCCGCAGATAACACAGCAGCGAACACACTTTAAACAGGCAATCCGACTAGGAGACGGCAGCAGAAGCGTCACTAGTATCGGTTGCGAGTCATGTCCTGTAAAGTCTCGAGACAAGTACAAGGCGAGTCAAGTGGACTCCAGCCCGGAAGACGAGACGGAGCAACGTCATCAAGTTTGGTCGTCAGTGACTTCATTTCCTGCTGCCAAGTCAACTTCAGTCTACCACGAGCTTTGAGTTGCCCTACACCTGGAAGACTAAACAAGGCCCTCCTAGGTAAGCGGTGACCAGGCATACGTAGCACGTGCTAGAGCCAAACCAACTTATTCAGTGCTATCCGTTGTTCTAGGGAGCTAGCATGATTATCACCACCTAGTACTCGCCTACTCACGTCATCGTTGAGAACGTGCTGGTGCCATCCGATACCAGCAATGCTCCGCAGACAACGATGATCAAAGACTTGAAGACGCCTCAGATCTTCAAACCAAAGGAGCCAAATCACACTCTCATGGAGAAGGAAGGTCCTCACTGTGACCTTGTATACAAGTCCTTTCAGACGGAGGGAAACTCCCTTCTGTCGCCATTGATGCCGCAGGTTCAAGAAGACAGCACTGACCTTTGAAAAGCATGAGCTGACATCAGTTTCTATACGCCCACAGTTGCTGATGCAGTTGCCAAGATAAGTGAATTAATCAACTACCTCGAGTTCCTCGTTAGCAAGCGTCAAGGGGTTATCAAGTGGCTGGTGGTCCTGCAGCAACACTTTGCACCTTGAAGGTGTGAAGCGCATACCGAATAATGGGACCACTCTAGACAGACCATCCAGGGTTGATTGTGCCGTCGCAACATCGGCGAAAGGCAAGACAATATCGTCTGCATAATCAAGATCCACTGACTTTCGCAAAGCAGAACCACAACACCTACATCGTGAGATATCGGAAAGCAACGCTCCATGATATTGTCCACGAGGAAAATGGACAAAATTGGGGCAATCGAACAACCCTGACGAACGCCACATTCTGTCAAAAACCTATCGGACAGGCCACCGTAGACTCTGATGTGGCCTATAGTGTTCAAGTACAGAGCACATAAAATGTTCACATATTTTGTGGAACACCTTTCAGAACCAGCATTTCAAACAGAATGCATTTCAAACAGACTGTAACGAAAGCACTCTTGAAATCCAGGAACACAGTAATTGTCGGTCTACGGTATGCGTGCCGCTGCTCTAGAACCTGCCGCAAAGTGAATCTATAGTCCATACAGCCACGCACTGGATTGAAACCTGCCTGCTCTTCCATAATCCGAGATCCTCGTTCCACAGTGAGGCGACGAATGAGAAACAAGGCCATTAATTTTGTCGCAACTGGCATTAGGCAAATACCACTGTCTGTGCGATTGCCCTTCTTGTATATTGCCACGATAATCGATTCGCTCCAATTAGTCTTGGCACACTCTTCCTTATAGATGCTTTTGAATAGGGAGGTCAGGCTTTTCGCAAAGCCCCTCACCTCCATCCTTAATTAGTGTAGGTGGGAGGGAATCCGGGCCAGCCACACGAAGACTATTGAGGGCTGTGATCCCGTTTCGGACATTGACCGCCGACGGAGGCTCTAAACTAACCGTCCATTTCTCATCCTTCATTACCTGAGTAAGAAGAGGTGCGGGAGCAGGAGGCCAGTTGAACTGATCTGGAAAGTGTTCCGCCCAACGATCTATCCGGCGCTTCTTATTGTGTATCAGTGCACCCGCGCTGTCTCTGTTTGTCTCACTGACACCTGGTTTTCCGGGACCAGTGGTGCGGATTAACTGGAAGAGCTTGCGGTAATTGCCTACTGCTCCTGCCTCCTCCATCTCTTGAACCCGAGTGGTCCACCAGGCTTTCTTGTCAGCACGTAAGCTCCGCTTTAGTTCGTCCCTAATAGCCCGTCTGGTCACATTGTACTCAAAGTCAATCGGGAGGTTCCTTCTAGATTCCAACAGGTTCATCGACCTCTCGGCTATCCAAGGACTGGTGCGGTGACGATGGATAGTGCCACAAGCAGATGCTCCTGCGTCGTGCACGGCGGACGAGATCCTATTCCACTGAAGCTCAGTGTCATTAGAACAAGACAGCGAATGTTCGGTACGCAGCGCCTCTTTGAAGGCTCGCCTGAGCGAGGACTGAGACAATTTCTCCGTTGCCAACCGGAGAAGACGCTTGGTGCGCCTCCCGGTAAAGTTCACGCAGAAACGACAGCGTACCAAGGCATGATCAGATTAGACGCAGGTATTCCAATACGAGCGGCAATCCAGGATGGAACCACGCCACCTCTAACTTATGGCTAGATGGTCAATTTGGGTCCATCGCTGGCCAGCTACAGGAGGATGCCAAGTGGCACTTCGGCGCTCAATGTGTCTAAAAGCAGTGCTATTAAGAAACAACTGGTGCTCCGCACACAGTTGCAGCAGACGCTCATGGTTGTCAGCCCGTCCGGAGTTAAGCCCACAATTACCACCCAGCTGAGTGTCTGAAGAGCTCAGACGCCCGACTTGTGCGTTCATATCTTCTACAAGTACTATTATTATATCTGAACTAGTAGCACAGCGTAGTAGCGCGTTCAGTTCGTGATAGAATGTGTCCTTGACAGTATTTGAACTGCAGTCGGTGGAACATAAGCGGAAATCACAAACAAACAGCGTTTTGTACTATTTCGTGAATCAACCTTAGCTGATGGCGTCAAACGGGCTGCACATAAACGGCTGTTCACCGGGATCCAGTCAACCAACGATGGCTCAGCCTTGAAACTTAGAAGGAGACTTACACCAGCTTGACCCGTGAGTGCTGCATCGGCGTCTCCGGATGCGTGCAACCAATAACGACAGGGTAAGCCGGGTGCAGTTAGTTCAACAACCCTATTAGGGCCATTGATCCTATTTTCGGACACACAACACACTTCACTACCCAGTGTGTCCAAGGTGCAACCTGTAGACCAATTTGTCTTAGCGTGCGAAACTGGAACGTCGCCATGGAAAAGGGGACAACGTGACCTTATAAGGGCTCTTGCCGATAGGCTTCCACTGCTTGTCGCGAGGTGGTTGCAAATGGCTCCACTCCAGTGGCACTTCGGTTGCTGTCAATTAAGCTAGGAATTGTAGAAGGTTCATAATGAGGTCGGGATGGGAGTAAGAGAAAAATGTGGAAAAGAAAGAAGGGAGGCGCCAGCATTAGCATGTTTTCGCTTATCCGCCCTGCTGTATGCAGCAGATAAGGCTAACTTTGATAATCTGCACGAGGACTGATGCAGGATGAAGTTTATGTTTGAAGAAATGTCATGGTTGTATGTGGGCTGAGATGGTGTCAGGGCGCCCAGACCTAGACAGCAGGATGATTAGGGTCCTCATCCAAAGCATTTGGCTCAAAAGCCTGTCCGCAAGGCAGCATGGATGTGGCAATTATTTAGTTTTACAGAATTGGACGCCATCCTAATTCGAACCCCAATCTGGAGGACCAGAAGACTGAGTTTGTCTGCTCTCTCACCATTGACCAACGTGGTAGGAGTAGCTCTCAAGGTGCCCTGAGGCATCAACCAGTATAGCTCAATGGGTCAAGGAGGTACGCAAACAGTCGCACCACGTTAAGGTCCAGTCTCCTTGCGACGGATCATTTAACCTCATGTACGGGATAATTTGCTTTATTGACACATCGCATTTAAATTCCCTTTGCTAATTGTGTTCTGATTATTTGTAGCATAAGAGCCTGATGAGAACCACCGAAAACAAGCTTGTTCGCCTAGTTGTCTTCTAATGCTGATGTCTTCCTCAGGATAATTTCCGCGGTCGATTGTTCAATACAATATACTAGTGCTGACAAAACCCTTGTAAATTGCGCTTACTGACCCGTTCAGTGCTCGTTTCTTGGTGCTCCTGCTACTGTAGTGCATGATACGTCGGTCGCACTATACTGCGCCTCTCTCAGATGATCCGAGAGCACAGCCCGGCCTGGTTCTACAAAGGCGAGATGAGATCCTAAAACAACCCAATTATGTCACATCTCCTTGATTTTTCCATAGAATCTCTGAGGATGAATTTATGCTCATATACACGATATTGAATGTTGCACGCAAGTCTCTATAACACAGCCATTCAAAGCCCGAACTATGGGTGCAGAAGCGGTACGTAAGTCCGTTACTACTAAATTGGCCACCGGACAATTTTACTTAACCATTTAATTGACATCTGAGCTTTCCTTTTTACATTGCTTACAATCTATAGCCTAGCCCTAAGGTACCTCCTGACTGTTCGAATAACCCAGTAATCAATCTACTGCCCAAGTTGACGCCAACAACACCTTATCAGTACCATATGAAAGGTTGGGTTCAAAAAGCGTTTATATGGAAAATATTCATAACCCAATACTCATTTGGTCTGAATTAGGTCAGTGCAATATTGATGGCATTAACTGGTTACATCAACTTACAATTCAGGTATTTCTCCGGGCATATGGAGGACTGTCTTATTTGTAGTCTCTTGCTACTATCTCACAATTTAAATAAATGGATTTTCATAAATAGGTACCCCGTGTATGTTCGAGACCAAACCAGTACTATATAAATTATTTATATGATAATCTAGTCACCGACGGAGTTCTGACTAATGCTGTCAATAACAGTCAGTCAACAAAGGAAAAGGATTGCTATAAAAGTCGTATCAAACCCCGTCCATTTCCGACAAAGTGCGTTGTAGTTCCATCACTATTACGTCTGTTTCCGATTATCGCCACCTAATAATAGACACCATAGGCAAAGAAGCTATTCGTCAATTTGCTGTCAACATCCAATTGAATTTCCATTTAATTCCGTTCAGCTCGATCAATAATAATATAGTATGAAGTAAGTTCCATCAAAGTCCATCAAAGTTTCATGACCTACACTTTCTAGCCCAACAAAAGCGCATGTAGATTAAACCGGAATTTGGGCAATTCATAACCACTAACGAACATATTCCTAATGAAGTCAATGTTAAATGAGAAAAAATAATATGTATTATGAAGTTGGTATAAATTATTCGTAAATAGTAGCATTTAACTAAAAAAGTAATAGTTTCATATAGAGTCTAAAAGGTATTTGTGTATATATGTGTATATGATAGCTTATACGGAAGGGTATAAAGATGCATAAGTTTGACAAAATGTGAAAAATAACAAGGGTTTGAGTTCTGAGGAAACATCCTTTAGTTAATAACAACAATGCATTTTGAGATCTTCACATGGGTTTTCACAGTATTCATAAAAACAGATTATGTTTCTTCCAAACGTCACCCGTTTAGAGAGCACAAAAGGAATTAAATGGCGCTTAATAACCAGATATACGTAAAATTTGTAAAAAGAAATCCAAGAATTGTCAGAGCCCTGAAAATGAGTCAACCGTTATTGATTAGGATGTTAAATTAAACGGTCAAAGGCATAGGATGTCACTGTAGGTAGTACATTAGGTTGCAATTCGAATATTCCTGTGGCTGACTTCAAAATCAACCGAGGCCATAATTGAGATCGTGCGTTGCAATTCAAGACAAACGGCAGTTGCTCTAAAAGGAGATAATCGGCAGCTAACCGTAGTGTCAATCACTGCTCGCGGAGGTCACTGGTTTTTGCAGTATAACGATAGCCACAAAATACTATGCGCCAAGTTCCACTAGCAGCTCGGTTCTCCCTACTTGGTTTGTCGAAATCCAATGGTATTTATTATGACACAATGTCACCGAAGACTTTGGTTAACTCTTGAGCCGATTACGTCGTGATGTCGGGCGTTTAGGTGCTTTCTTCACTGGTTACCTTGCATACCATCTACAGCTTAATCATGATATGTCGATTTGACTATTCAAACAACCCAGTAATCAATTTCCTAGCCAAAGTTGACACTAACAACACCTAATGACTACCATGTAAACATTTGGGTCCATTGAGAGTTTACTAGAAAAGAATCCTAAAACCAGCACTCATTGGGTTGTGATTTGCTCACTGGAATGGGAATATTTACTTTGCTGAAGATCAGCACTACCTTTGTTTCGTCGAAGCATTTGAATGAGTATCTGAAGTTCACTACTGGTCTGGGTGAATCTAGAATGGAGTTGGTATACTTCAAGG